GTTATGGAGATGGATAGTGGTGGTGGGTACACAACAATGTTAATGTATTTACTATCACTGAACAGTATACTTAAAAATGGTTAAGATGGTAAATTTTATGTTATGTGTATTTTACCACACATACAAGAAGAAAATAATTAAGTGGTTAGTTTAAAAGCTAATGTTTAGGAGATGGTTACTGAGAGTCAAGCATTAGAGAGAAGATGAAGGATTTTTATTATGCAAAATACTTTTTGAGTGGCATGAGGCTTTACCATATGTTCGGTTTTATAATTTTAATTTGCAAGTAGATGCTTCTAGAAAAAAAAGAGTGCTGTTTTCTGCACATCTTTACACATTTCTAGAACTGAGTTCTGAATTGAAGTAAGAAATAATTTTGCATTTAGTGTTTTTTGGTTAAAAAAATGGGCTGAATAAAACTGCGTAAAAGCCACAGCTACCCAAAATGTGAATATCAGGTAAGCAATGGACTTGTTTTGTAAGCATCTTATAGTAAAGGAACAAATGGTTGGTCAATTAATATTCTATTAATGCAAATGAAATGGCAAAAGGAAAAAAAAACCAAAACCTTCAACATTAAGAACTGATTTTGTAGTTCCATAACTGAGTTTTTTTTTTTCAAAGTGAAAATTTCTATCACTAATGTAAAATTTCCTGCTGATGGCAACAAATGCCATGAATGTAAATTTATCCAAATATAACTTAAATATGTATCTCATTTTAATGTTTAAGATAGTTTCCATTAAGTAATTTTGTTAGGAAGTATCTTAAAGTTACCTCAACTCTTGCAGTAAAACAGTTATGTCTATTCACTATATCTGAATTGGTGGGCTACTCTGAGTTCATTTTGGGAGAATCGTGAAAGAAATCCCTAAAGACCCATTTCCCATGCATTAAGATAGAAAATCCTATGGGATTACGTCCATGTTTGCTTTCTAAATTATACCAAAAGCTCAATTTTATTAAGTATAATCTGTCTAGCCATGCATAAAATAAAATACTTTGGTTTAGAGGTGAGCGTATTATTTATATTGATTTTTTATAAAAATGTTTTACATATGTGTCAATGCATTCTGCTTAATATTGGTTAACATCATAAAAGACAATGTAGTAACACGACTTTTCTAAATGCTTTTCTGAGGTCATCTAGGTCATCTAATAGCATATATTGATAGAGTTAATAATTTTGTCACTTAATTTCGTTGGTTTCAAAAGAAGGAGCTCTTTATGCATAAGACCAATTTTTACTCCTATTTATTTTAACTTCTTAAGAAAAGAGAACTTCATTGGGGATAACTTTACACATTTATACATGGCAATAATTTAAAGTTGTATCCAGAATCTGGGCCCTGAAAAAAACTAGTGTTGTCATTCTAATTGAGTTACAAAGTAGTTTGTATTCTAGAATCTATGTTTAAAAAAGAATCTTGAAGGGTTGTAGTCATATAAATGCAAAATTTCAGTTTCTTTTAGCCTAAAGCATCCTTTTAACATTTTCTAAAAGGTTGTTCAGTTCTACATTTTGATTCCATTATATGTGTAATTAAACCTCTGTGCACAAAAGCATTCTCTTATGTACTAGCAAATACACCCACAGGAATCCTCTTCTAAACTATAATTTATTTAAACATGTAATCATAGGATTTTAAAACATGCTTTCATTTTTCCAAACTATATGCCAATTTGAGCTACTTGGTGACAAAATGAGAGATTTTATTACTATTTTGATTTTTTTCCCCCTGTGACCTAACAGTGAGTTAAACATGGGCAGGAAGAAAAAAAGAAAATCTATTGTGAACCTAATTCCATGTGTAAGACTGTTTCCCCTTTTAAGAAAAATAGAAAAGAATAAAAGACTTGTAGTTATTTATGAATTCCAGCACAGTATGAATATTTGGGCCTGCAGCTTGCTCTCCTAGGGTTTGGCCTAAGTAGTGAATAGCTAGCTGGTGAGTGAGGGTGTGTGTGTGTGTGTGTGTGTGTGTGTGTGTGTGTGTGTGTGATCGTCCTGAACGTTGTGGAGTCAGGCCCCCTACTGACAGCATCAGTCAATTACAGACATTGGCGGTTCTACTGAGACTTCGTTCCATCACAATCTGGTGGTGGGGGGTGGGGACACAGGAGTGAGTTCTGAGCAGGGTCCTTTTTTTACACTTTATGATGCCTGCGTTGTATGCTTCCCACCCCGAGCACATCTGAGCCCCACCAAAAATGCTAACCCCGGAAGTAGCTTATCCAGTAATTGGTTTAAATGAGTTTGTCAGTCTTGCGTCCAGTGTGTCTTCCTAAGAAGTAACACTTCCCAGGAACTAGAATAGGAATTTGAAGAAGAGAGAGAACTCATACAAGTTGTAGGATGCAAGGGGAAAAGTCCACCTTTTCCCTCTTTTTTTTTTTTTTTTTGGTCCCTCTTTTTAATGTTCTATCTAACCCCTCCATTTCCAGTTACTAATAATAATTATAATAGCTACTGTGAAAACTGCCTCTCAGTCTTGGGTGCATTAAGACTTGGGCAAGGGCTCTATCAAGCCCGACTCTACAGGTTGCTGTTGTAGAATGACGCACCACGCTACAATGTTTGTCTTCTTCAGAGCTCACTGTAAGAACTCCAGAACACTTTCCACTCTCTGAGAGAGAATTCTCAGGTTGTCTGCAGACTCAACCCAGGCTAAAGCCAAGTGTTTTTAAGGGCCATAAAGGAGGAGGAACTTGTGCAGGGAATGTATCTACTTAGATGGGCGTATTTGTGTGTGGAGGGTGATAGTTACAACCTTAAAGTTCTCCTGGCCCCCGCTTTCCGAGGAGTATATTAAAAAATAATAACCGCCACCCCAGCGTGGCTGCGCTTGAGTTTCCGACTGCCTGAAAATAGCTGACGGGAGCCTGGCCCACCGCTGGGATCAAGGAAAGCTCCTCCTGGCAGCGCCCTGCTCCCTCGCGGAAGAGGAAGGGAACCCGGGAGGGCGCCACCGAGCTAGAGCCGCTGCTATTTTGGGCCCAGCCCGGCGGGTGCGTCAATGCCTGCGCCCCTGCGTCACCGCCACCCCCACCCCTTTCCTTCTCCCCTGCTCTCCAAACTCTCACTTTTTCCCTTTCGTTCGCATGGAATCGCTCCTGCCCACGGGGCGCTGACGCTACCGAGCTCATGCTAATAGGCTATTCTTCGCCCTCCTCCCCTCTTCCCCCTACTCACACATCCTCACTCGCCACAACAGCCCCCCCTACACACACACACACACACACACACCCTCTCTCTCTCACACACACACTTCCTGGTTTTATTTGTACTCCGGCCCGCTGGGGCACCGCTGAGCCGCGGAGGCGGCGGCGGCAGCAGCGGCAGTCGCAACATCTGGGGGAAACTTAAGGTGGTCACGCAGGTTTTCCAGAGGCTGCGGCGCAGAAGAGCCCCCGGCTTCCCCAGGCAGCCGCAGGACACCTGATGGCTACGCCTCTCCAGCCGCTGGGGAGCGAGCAAAGGCTGGGGTGCAGATTAGAGCTGAGCAGCTCCAGAACGCGGATAGTTCCCCGGCGCTTCTGGCCCATCCAGGGAACACCAGGATTGGGGGCGGGGGGAGTCGCCAAGGGGCTCCCGCAGCCTGGAAGCGAGCCACGCCGAGGGAGGTGGGGCGGCTGGAACTCTTCGCGGCCAGAGAGGGGGACGCTTCGGAACCCTCTCTCCCCTCGTCCCAGCCTCTTCCAGCGTCCCCGGGAGAAGCCCTGAGAGGCCCGCCCTGCTCCGGCCCGAGGAAAGCGAAGGGGGCTCGCTCTCGGGAGAAGCGGCGTCTCCTTTGCTAGAAAGCGCCTCGCGCCCTCAGCCTGGTGGGTGGACTGGCTTGCAAAGTGGAGTCGGCGGTGACTGGGGCGGCCGCGGGGGTCCGGCGAGCTACCACAGTGCACCGGGTCCCTCTCCTGGAAGGGCTGGGCGCACAACTTTACGCTAGCGGAGATACCCCACCCCGCCCTCTCCCCATGTTTTGTCTTTCCCTCTTGGCTCTGAGACGAGGCTTCGAGAGCCCTTGTGCTTCAGAGGAGGGTTGATTTATTTTTCTACAACTTGTGTTAGGGTACGAGTTGGTGGGCATTGAGGAGTGTCGAAAGTATCAGTGTTGGCCAAAGGTGAGGTTAGAGCACCTTTCTGCTGAAGGCGCACCTGTTGCCCGCTACTCGGCTGTATTGTCTGCGAAAGGAAAGTGGGCGAAGCCTCACTCTGACTTTCGGGATCCCTAAAGGGCTGGGTCACTGTCTACCTGTTCCCCTCTCTTCCCCTTTCCACGCACCACGTCCTCGCTTGCACGTGGGCACTGCAAGGGAAGAAGGGAACATAGAGAACAGGCCCTACCCAGTCCCTTCCACCTTGGACTGTGTGTGTCTGTGTGAGGGAGGGGGGCGGGGAGACAGAGAGAGAGAGAGAGACAGACAGAATGCTAACGCCAAAGGAGGAGGCCTTGGACAGGAAAAGGGAGAAAAGGGATATGCATCGGGCTAGGGAAATCCCACCTTAATTGCCTGAACCCTTTGAGCTTCTCGGGTCATGGGACATCTGTCCGCGCTTCAGCTAAGCGGGGTGACAATTGTAAGTGGATGGGGTTAGGGCACTGCCAGGCACACCCCATCCCTCACCAGTCCAGGTGCTGGCTACCTGGCCCACGCCAGCGTTCCCTTCCGCCAGGGGCTTTTGTTGCACCCTCCCCCACATGTGAGCCGCCGGGCGGCAGCGGTGGCCCGGGGTTTAGGGGAAGGCGAGGTGAGATGTCGCGGTGCTGCGGGCTGCGCGGACCTGAGTGGAGAGGTCACACCTCTTTCGGAAAAAAAAAAAAGAAAGAAAGAAAGAAAAAAAAAAACCAAGCTGGCGACCAAGGTGAACCCAGAACGGTTCCCACCTTAAAATCGGCCCTGATCGTGACGTCAGGTCGGAAATATACCAAAGCGAGAGCCGGCCAGGAGTCCGGGGAGCGCGGCGGCGCGGCGATTGGGCGGCGGGCCGCTGACGCGCGCTGACGCGCGGAGACTTTAGGTGCATGTTGGCAGCGGCAGCGCGAGCCACATAAACAAAGGCACATTGGCGGCCAGGGCCAGTCCGCCCGGCGGCTCGCGCTAGGCTCCGCGGTCCTGCTCTCTTGCCCAACCGGCCGCCTTCTCCTGCTCCCTGCCGGCTCCTGGCGACTAGGTTACCTTCGCCCCTCTCGCCCACCCCTCCCAGACCCTGCTACCAGGACTCCCAGAGGGAACTACACTTCGGCGGAGTTGAATGAATGAAGAGAGACGCGGAGAACTCCTAAGTGAGTAGGTACAGCCCGTGCAGCTCGAGTTCCTTTATCCTTCTTTCTTCTTTTGCACGTCTCTTCTTTCCACATGGGTGGTACAGGTTTTCTCGAAGTGGGCGCCAGAGGGTCGGAGCGCGAGTGGGGCCGGAGGATGGGGAATAAGTGCGCGCGGCTACGGCGGTCATTTGTCCGAACTCCAGCTTTGGCACTAGGGGGGAGTTGGCTCCCAGGAGGCTTCTAGGCTCCTCATTGGTGGACGTGGATGGGAGACTTGCATAGTTTGGGGAGCTGTGGACTTGCCGGGGATATGTGCCCAAAGTTTGCTCTTAGAGTGGAATTGATTGTGACCATTGGACAAGGAGACTCCCAAGTCCTGTATATACGAGGGGCCTGGACGCTACCCACAAAGTGACAGGGAGAAAGTTCTCCAGTTTATGTGTTGCTTGGGAACTGTGTCACCGCGGCTGGCTGGTGTGCCAGTGTTTCCTGGGTATTATTGAACGAGGGGTGGTGTTGGTGTTCGTAGAGTGTCCTATTACTAAGTTGCCTGAAATTTCTGCTTTTGACACATGCCGTGCTTGTGTATGTGAATACATCAGAGAGAGAGAGACAGACAGCGGAGAAACAGAGAAGAAAGAGTACAGTTATGAAGCTGCGAAGTTACCAGGAGGTTAATATCCAGCACAGGCATATAGCTCTCAAAGGCTGTGTGTGTCATGGGTCTCCTTTCTTTTTACTTTTTCTGATTAACCTTCCTCCCCAGGAAGCAAGGTAATGGGGGGGGGGGAGGAGAATAGAAGGAGTGGATGTTTGGCTTTTTTCATTAGTAATAAGATTGTCTATGCTCTAGAATGTCTTCCAAGTGGCAACATCTGAAAATTACTAGGATACAAGATTGCCTTGTTCCACCGGCAGGTAGGCAGATTGTGGAAGGCTGTATAGGCAAGGTGTTCGGCTTCCTATGTTGGGAAGCGCTTCTAACCTTGGTGCCAATACCAGATAAACAGTGTTTCCCTCCCTCTGCAATTGACCTAAGATGCTCCTGGAAAAAAATAGGGTCTCCCCTTCCCACCCCTTGGCCATTAAAGATGTTGAAAAACAAGTTTCCTGGAGAAGTGAATGGCAATTCACCTGTATCCTCAGTCCCAGTGTTCTGTCAAAAACACTTAGGAAATCCAGATGCTTCCATGCAGATTGCCTTCCGGGCTGCCCAGGCCTTGAGGGCATTCTGTAATGCATAGGGATGGAGGGAGAGATTATTTTCTCATATTATATTTATGACTTCTACTTTCTTTACCCCCTCCCGAAAGAAAAGCTAGTTTCACCACAGAAAAATTTAGGAGAAATCCAATGCTGTATTTTATTAAACTCTAGTTTCTTCTTATTTGGGTCTGAATGAAACTAAAATGGAAATGACACTACCCTCCCATCCCCACTTCCACTCCCACCTCCACCCCACCCCCACATTTTAGGGTCCAATTTATTACATCACAAGTATTAAGTAAGTACATGAAGTACCTTTTCTCCTTCAGAACCCTCTCTCTGCAAGGATTTACACAGTGCAATGGGTGGCATTTTGTGTTGTTTACAGTCATCTCTTCTACACATTCATTTTAACTGCTAAGTTTGGTAAAGGCAACACAATGAAACAATCAAGGAGGGCATAGAAGGGCTTGCCTGGTGACCCTACAGATGGCCAGCTGAATCTGTCGGGAAAGTCACCCTGAAGCTTCCTGTGTCTGTATTTCAGGGAGGAGATCCGACAGGCTGGACTCCCCATTGCTTTTCTAAAAATCTTGGAAACTTTGTCCTTCGTTGAATTACGACACTGTCCACCTTTAATTTCCTCGAAAACGCCTGTAATTCGGCTGAAGGTTAGTGCAACTTCATTTCTTTCTTTCCTTCCTCCGAGTTCCCTGAACATCAAGAAACAGGACAATACGATCTTCCTCAGCAAACTCTGTAACTTAATATTTTCCTGGCCCATCATCATCAGGAACAACATTCTCATTGTGCAATTCAACCTCATTTCTAGAATGAGCTTGCTGAACCCTAGCTTCAGAGAAAAGGCTCATATTAGCGGGACTGTTTTTGTGAGGGGGTGAAGGGGGAGGCGTTTGAAATATACGGGAATAGAGACCCTCAAAAGCTTTCTAGCTCTGGGTCTTCCTTGGACCAGCCTTTCCATGCCCTGCACTGTTTTGCCCCGCAGCATTCGCGCTCTCCGCCCTTCCTCTCGCGTCCCTACATGCTCTCTGACCGCCGCGGGCTGCCGGTGTAGCTCCAGGTGTACCCGAGCCCGGGAGAAAGTGTTCAGTTGACCAGGCTGAGTGTATATTACCCTGTTTCATTTCCAGCCATGCCTTGTGTTCAGGCGCAGTATGGGTCCTCGCCTCAAGGAGCCAGCCCCGCTTCTCAGAGCTACAGTTACCACTCTTCGGGAGAATACAGCTCCGATTTCTTAACTCCAGAGTTTGTCAAGTTTAGCATGGACCTCACCAACACTGAAATCACTGCCACCACTTCTCTCCCCAGCTTCAGTACCTTTATGGACAACTACAGCACAGGCTACGACGTCAAGCCACCTTGCTTGTACCAAATGCCCCTCTCCGGACAGCAGTCCTCCATTAAGGTAGAAGACATTCAGATGCACAACTACCAGCAACACAGCCACCTGCCCCCCCAGTCCGAGGAGATGATGCCGCACTCCGGGTCGGTTTACTACAAGCCCTCCTCGCCCCCGACGCCCACCACCCCGGGCTTCCAAGTGCAGCACAGCCCCATGTGGGACGACCCAGGCTCTCTCCACAACTTCCATCAGAACTACGTGGCCACCACGCACATGATCGAGCAGAGGAAAACGCCCGTCTCCCGCCTCTCCCTCTTCTCATTTAAGCAATCGCCTCCCGGCACCCCTGTGTCTAGCTGCCAGATGCGCTTCGACGGGCCCCTGCACGTCCCCATGAACCCGGAGCAGGCGGGCAGCCACCACGTGGTGGACGGGCAGACCTTCGCTGTGCCCAACCCCATCCGAAAGCCCGCGTCCATGGGCTTCCCAGGCCTGCAGATCGGCCACGCGTCGCAGCTGCTGGACACGCAGGTGCCCTCGCCGCCGTCGCGGGGCTCCCCCTCCAACGAGGGGCTGTGCGCCGTGTGCGGCGACAACGCGGCCTGCCAGCACTATGGCGTGCGCACCTGTGAGGGCTGCAAAGGTTTCTTTAAGGTGAGCGAGGACGGGGGCGGAGAAGACAGGTAGGGGCCCCCTAGTGCCGGGAGCCTCGGAGTGCGTGCTCCGCGGTGGTGCAGGCAGCCCAGTCCTAGTTCGTCCAACTCCCGGGGTCCGCGGAGGCTGCCCTGCAGCCGCCCATGGCCTATGGCCGAGGCCTCTGGGTGCTTGAGAAAGGGAAGTAGCTAGACCGGGAGACCTGGGGTCGCATCCCACCCCCCCCCCACCCCGCACGCAGCTGACCCCGGCAGGCCCCAGCCCGAAGTTGCAGAAGCCTGAGTTGGAAGAGGGTCATTTGCATGTGCTAGGAGCTGTCTTCTCTGTTCAGATTGAAATTGGTTAGGACAGAGAACCGTGTCTGAGCTAACCAAGTGGAACAGAATTCCCTGTGGTCAAATTAAGTGATCTCTTTATTTCGCCATCCTGATTGAATAATCTTATCATTTTAAATAGAGAAGGTCTCCAAGGAATGTAAATAATATGAATGCCCACGGATTTGTATTTACTGAGCGTCTCCTCCTTCTCTTGGCATATAAAACACAGCAAGGAGCGGCAAGGTTAGCTCAAATGTTAACGCTATCAATTTTCTCCTGTTAAATGCCCTGGGGGAGGAAAACGAAAAGAAAGAGAAAGAAAAGGAAAAGGAAAAAAAATTAAAAGGAGTTGTGTGTATGTGTTTGTTTGTGGGGAGGAGTGTAGATCCCAGCCATTCAGAAATTGTTCCTGGATTCCCTCGGTCGCTGGATTTTCAAAAGAAAAAAAAAAATCGGTCTATATTGTCTTCTTTTGCAGCGCACGGTACAAAAAAACGCAAAATACGTGTGTTTAGCAAATAAAAACTGCCCAGTGGACAAGCGGCGCCGGAATCGCTGTCAGTACTGCCGATTTCAGAAGTGCCTGGCTGTTGGGATGGTCAAAGAAGGTAGGTCAGGACAAGCAGCCCACTCCCCCGTCTGCGCCCGCGGGAAACTGCCGCTCCTATCCCAGTCCTATTTTCCAATTCCCAGCGCTGGGGGGTTGTGGGGGGGTGTCTCCGGGTTCCCCCTCATCCGCGTCGGGCCTCGCTGACCCCGCAGCTGCCTGCTTGCCCATCCTGCCCTGGAGAAAGCAGCCAGGCCCTTCTCGCCCATTTGGAAGAAGACATAAAACAACCCCACATTTTTTTTTTTTTTAATGCTTCTCGTCAGTGAAGGCTTTACAAGCGGTGGGACCCTGCGCAGCCCTGCTGGGCGCCCCGTGGCTGTGGCCTTCCCCCGGGAGGGGCCGAGGCGGCAGCTGGGTCCCGCTAGGGGGAGCGACGCTAACCCATTTATTCCTTTGCAGTGGTTCGCACGGACAGTTTAAAAGGCCGGAGAGGTCGTTTGCCCTCGAAACCGAAGAGCCCACAGGAGCCCTCTCCCCCCTCGCCCCCGGTGAGTCTGATCAGTGCCCTCGTCAGGGCCCATGTCGACTCCAACCCGGCTATGACCAGCCTGGACTATTCCAGGGTAAGAAGCTGGCGGGGGTAGCATGTGGACAAACCGACAGATGGGCAGGACCCCTTCCCACACCCATCACTAAGCCCCAGACTCAAGCAAGGCTGTGGCTTTGCAGCTCTAAGCAGAGCCACAGGAGACAGGCGACAGACAAACCATGTTGCTGGGAGTGTAGACACGAGGACAGACAGAGAAGAGAGGACAGGCCACAGTGATCACATCTCTGGGAGCCCTCCTTTTCACTGCCATCGTACACACATATACTCACACACTAATGCCTCTAATGCCCAAACCAGAGGATGTGCAAAATGCCCCCCACTTGGATTTTATCCCCAATCTTCCATAGAGATGCTTTAATCCTCATCCTCTGTGGCACCCTCCGGGTAGGGGATGCCTGCTTGGGGGTTGGGGAAGGGAAGGAGAAAGGTATAAGGAGTGGCAATGGGGTGGGGAATCAAGTGGTCAGATTCCTTTTTTACCCCAGCTGTGAGAAATGTGTGGGCTTTAATTGGAGGAAGTATGTCGGGCAAACCTAGAAGCCACTGCAATTTTATTAAGATTTGCAAAGGGCGTCTCTGCTCCAGACCCACTCTGGGACTGGCATGAATACTAACGTGTCAATTGTTTTGTGGAGATAAGAGTGAACGTTTCCCAGGGCTGGATGGCACTGTATTTAGTCCGTATGGAAATGGTAATTTACATATTTAAAGCAGCGACCTCATAGCACCATCCCTAATTGAATTAATTGCCCCGGAACATCTAATTTCCTTACTGGTCAGAGAGAGGTTTAATTGTTATAAAAACCTGGCTCCCCTACTAGAAGCGGGGTTAGCAATTTCACGGGTTATATATTTTAGAGAACCTCATTAAGTGCTTTTTAAAATGAAATTCCAGTTCCAGGCGAACCCTGACTATCAGATGGGTGGAGATGACACTCAGCATATCCAGCAGTTCTATGATCTCCTGACTGGCTCCATGGAGATCATCAGGGGCTGGGCTGAGAAGATCCCGGGCTTCGCTGACCTGCCCAAAGCCGACCAAGACCTGCTTTTTGAATCAGCTTTCTTAGAACTGTTCGTGCTTCGATTAGCGTACAGGTAATGGAGGAGGCAACCCAGGGAGGCTGGGAAAGGAGGAGGAGAGGAATAAAGAAGAGAAAGAAAGAGGAAAAGGGGAATCAAAGGGGGAAAGAGAAGAGGACAGAAGAGGAAAATGAAAGAGGGATAGAAGAAGGAAAAGATAGTAGACAAAAGGAAGAGAAGGGAAGGAGTGAGACCAGAAGCCTTGGATGAATGGAATGGAAGTGGGATAGGGGGCGTTCTTGATTGTTATGAAATTAAACCCTTTCAAGGTCTACTGGTCTACATTTTATTAACTCTTCCGTAATTAGGTACCTCTAAATCCCTCATTTATTGCTCTTCAAGTAATTAGTTGTTTAGCTTTTCTCTCTCTCTTTTTCTCCCCTCTCTCTCTTTGGTATTAATTGCAGGTCCAACCCAGTGGAGGGTAAACTCATCTTTTGCAATGGGGTGGTCTTGCACAGGTTGCAATGCGTTCGTGGCTTTGGGGAATGGATTGACTCCATTGTTGAATTCTCCTCCAACTTGCAGAATATGAACATCGACATTTCTGCCTTCTCCTGCATTGCTGCCCTGGCTATGGTCACAGGTCAGTACTTCAAGTGCAGGGCACGTCTCCAAAACTGCCCACCAGGATTTGTCCCGGTTTTCCCTTGCCACTGATCCTCCCTGCTTCTGCCAGCTAGCTAACTGCTTTGTGTGTTCCTCTTTTGTTTCTGATTGTGTTTTCTGCAGAGAGACACGGGCTCAAGGAACCCAAGAGAGTGGAAGAACTGCAAAACAAGATTGTAAATTGTCTCAAAGACCATGTGACTTTCAATAATGGGGGGTTGAACCGCCCCAACTATTTGTCCAAACTGTTGGGGAAGCTCCCAGAACTCCGTACTCTTTGCACACAGGGGCTCCAGCGCATTTTCTACCTGAAACTAGAAGACTTGGTACCACCGCCAGCAATAATTGACAAACTTTTCCTGGACACTTTACCTTTCTAAGACCTCCTCCCATGCACTTCAAAGGAACTGGAAAGAAACCTAAAACTATCCAGAGGGGGCAAGTCACAAGGCAGAGATATCCCCATGAGCTGCCTCAGCTCTAGCTGGCCCCCACCCCCTCCATAAAATCCCAGTCCCTTGATCCTTAAAGAAAAAAACAAAAACAAAACAAAACAACAAAAACTGTTGCTATTTCCTAACCTGCAGGCAGAACCTGAAAGGGCATTTTGGCTCCGGGGCATCCTGGATTTAGAACACGGACTACACACAGTACAGTGGTATAAACTTTTTATTATCAGTTTAAAAATCAGTTTATTGTTCAGAAGAAAGATTCCTAATGTATGATGGGAGATGTTTGGCCATGTTTGGTTGTTGCAGTTAAGACAAATGTAATACACACACACACAACACAGAGTCACTCACACATTGTAAGGGGACCCACAAGTATTGCCCTTTAAAAGACTTCAAAGTTTTCTGCTGTAAAGAAAGCTGTAATATATAGTAAAACTAAATGTTGCGTGGGTGGCATGAGTTGAAGAAGGGAAAGGCTTGTAAATTTACCCAATGCAGTTTGGCTTTTTAAATTATTTTGTGCCTATTTATGAATACATATTACAAATTCTAAAAGATAAGTGTGTTTGCAAAAAAAAGAAAAACAGAAAAAAAGAACTACACAAAAAAGGGACAAGCATGTTGATTCTAGGTTGAAAATGCTATAGGCACTTGCTATTTCAGTAATGTCTATATTATATAAATAGTATTTCAGACACTATGTAGTCTGTTAGATTTTATAAAGATTGGTAGTTATCTGAGCTTAAACATTTTCTCAATTGTAAAATAGGTGGGCACAAGTATTACACATCAGAAAATCCTGACAAAAGGGACACATAGTGTTTGTAACACCGTCCAACATTCCTTGTTTGTAAGTGTTGTATGTACCGTTGATGTTGATAAAAGAAAGTTTATATCTTGATTATTTTGTTGTCTAAAGCTAAACAAAACTTGCATGCAGCAGCTTTTGACTGTTTCCAGAGTGCTTATAATATACATAACTCCCTGGAAATTACTGAGCACTTTGAATTTTTTTTGTTTTTTTTTTAATGTCTAAAATTGTCAGTTAATATATTATTTTATGTTTGAGTAAGAATTTTAATATTGCCATATTCTGTAGTATTTTTCTTTGTATATTTCCAGTATGGCACATGATATGAGTCACTGCCTTTTTTTCTATGGTGTATGACAGTTAGAGACACTGATTTTTTTTTCTGATAAATTCTTTCTTTGAGAAAGACAATTTTAATGTTTACAACAATAAACTATGTAAATGAACAGAATTTTGTCTTCTTTCTGGGTCAGGAAGAAATGATGACTAAACAGCAATATATAATAGAATTGGAGATTGATTTAGGATAGGTCACTTATTCAACATTTGAGTTTCAAACTGACAGCCTAGATCTATTCTAGCAAAAGAACCTGGGGAATTGAACTAATTATCCAGAAAATTCAGTACAATATTTTTCCTCAACCAGAATTTTTGAGTGTGGCAACCTGCATTTATCAGAATCAACTGAGGATATCTTAACTCTTTTGTTAATTTTGCTAGTAAGTGCAGCTTTCAGAAGAGAAGTTTAGGAGACCAGGTAGCTTTTGAAGTTCTGCAAGGTCTGAAGTCCTCTCAAGTTTTTGTCTTGCAGAATGTTTAGGGAGTATCTTTTTAAGACTCAGGAAGTTAATATGGATTTGAAGTGTGTTGTACATTATCTCTGATTTTTCCAATTCCTCTACTTATTACCGTTGTAAAGGGTCTTGGAAGAAGGGCCAAGCAAGGGCCTTGGGTCAGTGGTCTTAGCATACAGCAGAACTCAGGAGAGGTGTTTCTTACAACTTTTTGTTGTCCTCCTTCAGTGGATAGCGATGATGTACACTTTGCACTTTTAGCATAATATCTCCTTCTTTAAAGTTTTTCAGATAAATTATAAAATAGCCATTTGTCAGAAGCTGAGTCTGGTACAAGTAAGCTATACCACAGCCTCCAGGATTCCACCCAGCACCAACTTTTAGCAAAGAAAGCCACTAATGCTGTAGACACCCTCTTAAGGTCTGAGCTTCCTTCTGCTCAACATCCTGGTCCTTGGGCAGTGGAGGTCCTGCCTGATTTGCTTCAGGCTCACGGTGAATTCTTATCACAAGATGGGGACCATCTTCTTCGCTGACCCTAATGAATTACAGATGGCTTCTGGGGCACTGAAATTCAGAGAGTGTTACTGTTTTTAAATCGCAAAGTTAGAAATTGCCAGTAAATTGCCACAAGAGTTCTTAGGTGGTTTTTACTTTGCTTCCCTCCCCCCCTCCCTTTTTTAAAGACAGGTTTTGTGTGTGGGAGAAAAAGAGACAAGGCAGGTTTGGTGATAATTTAAGGTTATTTTAACCAGATACGTTTCTCTGCAGGTAGCTCTGAGGGGCAAAAGTAGGTGGTCACAAAAAGGATTAACTAATAAGCGAAATATCCAATTTCCTGACTTTTTTGAAAAGATGGGGCTTGCCATTTCCTTTTATTTTCACAACTTCTGTCCAACCAAAGCCTCACACTAATAAGCAGAGAGAAAGAGAAATCTCTTTAGAAATGCTGGGAGTCTGCAGAGCCGTCAGGGCTCGTCTCCCAGGTGCCTCCAGCCCTGAGACAATTACATTCCGAGTCGGAATCCCCGAGAGTTGAACCCAGAAACGAACTCTTTTGAGGGTTCTCCCTTAAGGAAGCGGCTGCGCACCACCCGAGGCCAATGAGGTGTTAGGCAGTGTGCCTCCGGAGAATTGGGGTGAAAGGAGGGAGGGAGGACTCTCCCAAGTCCGCCTGCAGATTGCACCGGCTCCTCGTACATTCAGCTGTAATTTCTAAATTGCAAAGTGGCCAGTGCTTTTTCTGCTTCACAGTTATCGAGTCAATTTCCAACTGCCGGCTGCGCACCGGGTTGTACGAGGAAAGAACCTTGCAAGCATCTCTCCTGCATCTTCCGAGATCCGCGCAGTTGAGGACTTAGCCTGCCCTAGCCTTTCTATGAGTAAAGCCCACGAAAAGCAACAGACAACTCCGCATTGCAAAATCCAGACGTTGTATGGGACTTCCTCAGAAAGAGATTAAAACTTTATAATGAAGGCTTCAGATCACTCTCATCTTCCCACGTCCTCTTAAGTTATCGTGTATCGTTCCAGCTATGGAAAATACATAATCATTGTTCTGAGGATATGACCATACACTTCTCAGGTCTGAAAGGTCTAATTTTAAGTCTAGACTCACTTTGAGTGGATGCTTAGAACGCCCTGACTTTATGGAGAGATGCCCTTAATTCAAAGCACCGGTGAGCAGAGCTACTGCCTGCTACTTGGTGGGTTAGGCTTCTCCGCCGTCCAGAGGACCTCCGCAGTCTCTCTAGGTGCTCAGGGGACCCTTGCTTTGATCTTTCGCTGGGAAGTGGGGTGGGGGGGGAAGAGAGACAGAGAGAGAGGGAGAGAGACACAGAGACAGAGTGAAGTGAGAGGAGAGGGAAGTTTGCATTTCTGGTTCTAACAAGAGAGACGCCTGACCCAGGACGGTGATAGCACACTGCAGTGATAGCAGCACCCAATGACCTTATCACGTGTATTTCCTTTTGGTGCATGACTCCGTCCCTAGAGAGTTTGGGTGCCCCCTCCACTAAAAATACCAATCACAGGTCTTAAGGGACACTAGTTCTCAGCGTGCAAGGGGCCCGACGAGGAGAAACATATTCTTGCCAACTTAAGAATGTCACTTGAAGGTTCAATTTCACTTTGCCTTGAGACTCTCTTGGCTTTGTCGATGTCAGTGCGTCTACACGAATATCCAATTATCTAATTATATTTTAAGCCTAGGCGTCGGCAGTGAAGACTTCCAAGATATGAACAGGTCTGTGAGGAAAAAGTTGTATTTCATGGTAATATTTTGATACAGAGTTTTCCAGGACAGGATACATTTCCATCCCGACAGGCCCCACACAGGGTAGCAACACCAGAGCTCTTCTGGGCGTCGCGCGTGTTGCGCATCTTCGCGCCGCAAGCTCCGCGCCGACTCCGCACACACGTCCGTTTCCTTTTTTATCCGCGGCGCGGCAGCCCGGAGGTGGCAGCGGAGAGTGAGGGCTGGGGGTCTTCCCGGCCGGCCTCGCCTCTCTCGGGGAGACAGGCGCCGGTCTGGAGGCCGTGTGTGCCTGCAGCCACCTCAAAAATGGAGACGGGTCCTATCAGCGCGCGAGGGGGAAAAGAGGGTGTCTAGCACCGCGGATTTAAAAACTTTCTTCAGTATTATTTTGCTGTTTGAACAGAGGTCTAGGACGGAGTATCTATCTCTAAGATATCTTCTTAGCCGCCCCCCCCTTCCACCTGTCACCGCTATTCAGGAACAGGAACTGTCGCTTCGAGGGCGCGCCCTGGAATTTCTCAGCAATCCAATTCCTGTGCACCCCGTGAGTCAGGACCTGACTCAATTTTGGAGTCCCACAGAGGAGAGATGGGGTTGAGGGGGCGTCCCAGCCAACTCCCAGCCAACCGTTCCTTCCCAGAGGTCTCAGCAACTACTAAAAAGGGCGCGCCCGGTGCAACAGTCTTTGTAAGAGGTTCTGCTTAGATCCGTGCATGTGACAGAACTCGAACCGGAGCGATCACGATTCGTATAGCTGTATTGGGGCGGGGGGCGTTCAGTCGATATTGGCTGACTTTACTGGGAAAGAAAGATATGAATTCCAAACAAGGTCATCATTTTTTAGTAATTCGATTTTAATAATAAACACAGAAATCCGCTTTTCATTTTTACTTTTAGATTTTACTAGAAATCCCTACTTGGATATCACACGTAACCATTTAGGACGGTGAGGTTATTATTTAAAGTCATTTTCCCTTAGTGTATTTCCTGAGCACGACTGGAAACGACCGCTTGGGCCCGCAAGGACTTTTCTCCCACTTTAATCTTGCGTTTCCTTAAGGGCAAGTCCCTCTTCTGTCGGAGGGCGCCTCCTGGAGCGGTGGGTGAGCAGGAGCGCTGGAGCGCAGGGCCCCACCCCACCCCGGGGAAGTAAGGAGGAGAGCCGCACCCCTGTTCCCAGCCGCGACATGCGCTCCCGGCCCAACCGACAGCGGCGGGAGGATTCCGGAGAGCGAGGCTCCAGCAGCTCACTCCCCTCCCCTCGCTTTCTCACTAGGCCCCCGTGCAGCGTGGTCTGATTTCGAGGCCCCAGGATTACTGAAGAGGACGTGCCTGCTCGCGGTTCGGCCGAGGGTGAATGTGGAGACGCAAGCGCTCCCTCTGCCCACTGCGTTTTGGAGACTTAAGAGTTTGACTCCGCAGGTTGCGTCAAAGACTTTGCCGAGGGAGCCTGGGAACAATTAGGACACACTCGCCTAGGTTAACTCTCTGTTTCCTCCTTTTCCTGCTCTGCCCTCCCCCGCTGCTTCTTGCTTTTTTTTCCCAGCTGTTCCCTGTCGGGTCCCCCAGAGCCGGAGGCCGCAACAGGTTCCCGACGCCGCTTGGACAGGTTCTGTGCGTCAGGGCGCGAGCACGTGCGGCCGAGCGCGCCCCCAACTTCTCTGGCACCCACCCATCAGTGGTCAGCCTTGGGTCTCCGGGGCATTCTTCCACGTTACGTGGGGGGAACCATTTTTTTTTCCAGTTGTGGGGGAGCACAAAAGGGTGGGGCAGAGGCGCCAGGGCGCATCCACACCGCGGGAAGAGCCGAGAGAGGGGCCCACGCATCTGTGCCACACGCGTGCCCCGCACGTGTGCTCTCAACTCCCAAGCTCCGAGGAGAGAAGGCGCGCATCCTGGCCCCGCTTTCCGATCTCGCACCGCGAGTTCTGAGCCCTAGGCCCGGGAGCCGGAGGAAGCGACTCGTCAGGTGGCCACAAGAGTGCTGCGCGCTCGGAAGGGCAGTGGGGCAGCCAGTGCGCCTCTCTGCCTGCCGCCGGGAGCGCTCCTTCCTCCCTTGAAGACACCGACTGCCGGTGGCTGGCTGCCCTCTTAGCTTAGCCGAGTTCTGTTTGGCGTGCTCAGCGGGACTGGACAGAGCTCCGGATGGGGACCGGGATCCTTGGAGAGACTCACTTCTATGCTTTCCTCCGCGTTTCTTCTTCCCCTAGTTAATACTCTCACTCCTATTTCTTTATATTTCTATCGAAACTTGTGTTTAGAGAAACTAGGATTTCCAGGACACGTGCCACCTGTCTTAACAGATACAGTGCCCACGTACCTGTTAGAGACTTCCCCGGGCAGTAGAGGGTGGGGGAGGGCTGCTGCTCATGTGAGGACTTCAGAGGGCCGGAAC